AGGTGTCCTGCTCTAGCCAGCCATACTCTCTTATGTCACATTGTGTGACATAAACCACAGGGGTAGCAGAACCCCACGACGTGAGTCCATTTCCTTCTATGAATCTAAAGATTCGGGCTGATGGAGACACACCTGGCCTTTTCTAAAGTCATATTTAACTATGAAAGAGAAAGCAAAAGAAATGTCTCTTGCTAAAATGTTTTCTTCTTATTTTCTATGTGGGTAGCTAACTGGGCCTTTTAAATTCTATCTAGAAAGCATGATCTTTCTATTAGTGGCAATAAAAAAATCTATCGGTTCTTAAAGTTGTTTCTAGTATAACCATGGTAATCGACCATGAATAAACACAGCGTGTTCCAGGGACATGGCTATTTGACTTTCAGCAGAGAAGCCCTCTGCTGGCACCTGCCACAACTGATTGAATTTGCTATAGAACAACCGTATGTCTGGGCCGGGGCTGAAATGAGAGGATGCACCAAAGAGCTTGGGAGGATGTAATAGGAGACAGATCGATCCTGTTTGAATCCAGAATAAGTGCAGATCAGTATGCAGGTACAGGAAGGGCCATCAATCCTTGCCCACTGGGCGGGGTGGCTGCTGGAGTCACATTGCCTCTTTCTGGAAAAGTAACATGGGGCTTGATGGAGATCTCAGGAGGAGGGGACAGTGGCAGGGGATGTTCGCTAAGGGTCAACTGTGGGTATGGTGGTTGTTGGACCGAAGTGGGATCATTAACAAATATGAGGTGCATTGGAAAGTCAAACTGCTATACACTGGTAAGGGAGAGATCACAGAGTCAGGTTTAAGAGCGTGGACTTTTGGACACATGGGTTCACAGCGTCTACAGATTAGCTGTGCACCTTTACCAAGATACCTAATCTCTTTGCACTTCACTCATCACATCTGTAAAGTGGAGACAATGTCCAGTGAAGTGGCTCTGGTGTGGCAGCGACAGCCAGCGCAGTCACCACAATCTCTGCCAACATTCACCGGGGCCCTCCTGCTTGCTACAGCTCCTGCTCGCTTGCAGCTGTCATCCTGTTTGACATCTGCATGATCTTCCTTACTCACCTCATGCCAACTCAGGGCTGTTGATTCCTAATCCATGTCCCCAGCCCAAACTTCCTGTGTGTCACATGTCAAATGATTTATGGGGCTGGATACTTGGCTGTCCCAAAGGCATGTCAAAGTCAACCCCTCTGAAGCAAGAGCCATCTTTCTCCCAAGAGCGTGGTTCTCCTCCTGCGTGTTCATTGGACCTCAGCCACCTGGTCACACCGTGTGAAACTCCAGAGACACCCTCCATTGGCCCGATTTCTCATGCACCAGATGACTTCAGTTTCCAGGTCTGGCCACGTCTACCTTCTCAGTGCATC